CTTTTTAAGCTACAAGCTTATCCAACAGAAGAAACATTTAAGCAGGTAATTATCTCCCCATCCTCATCATCTTCAGTTCAAGCAGCTCTGCCTCTGATTACTTTAGTTTCCATGAGGAACTATTAGCTGTCCAATCTGAGCAAACACATCTGAGCCTGAAAGTCTGTGTTCACAAATAACAATAATAAATTAGCAAAACAACTTATAACTAGCTCTGAAAACATAATCTGAAAGTCACCAATCAGTTCTAAATCATCTGACTCTGGATGAACCCTGCTGACTCTGCTGCTCCACCAAATCAGGTTTTTATTCACACTCTCTCTTTTTTTATCTCACATTCTGCAGCTATTCTCTGTGATCGTCCTGCCTTTTGTTGTTCTGTTTGTTAATAAAGTTTGGTTCATTTTACACTCTAGTCCTCATCTTTTGAAAAACAAAATCCCAGCCCTATTTTTTTATCATGGCATTTTGACAACACTGGTAATGTTTCCAACCAAACCATCATGACAAGGACCAGCCCAGTCCATAAAATAATAAATGGCTCCACAAACACCATATCAGTTCTCTGGTGGTGACAAGAACTCACTTTGCTGCTTCTTCTCTTTGTTCTTTTCAAACAGCGTGCTTTCGGATATAGTCACGGTTTGTCGCTTTGGGTACTCGTGTAGGGCGAGCGCACACCCCCGGCAGTGGTAGAGGTGTTTATTCTTGACACTTATGTTGTTGTAGTATTATCTAAAAGAACACGTGGCAGTAGGTTACACTTTATAACTTGTAAAACATTGTAAATAGGAGCACGAACGCTTGACAAACAAACTGGTATGCAGCATGCACAGTCCATGTAGAGTAGGGTTGTGTACCGAAACTCGGTTCCAGTATGGCACCAGGGCGAACATGAACAGTAGTACACAGATCGAAACACAACTCTAACTTTGGTGCCTCAAAGAAAGCTGTTAATTTGCTCCCTCTGGTGTTCACTGTTAACAGTGACGCCTCGGCACACAATCTCCACAGACGCTCTAGTATGCGGTTCGACTCGGCTCGGTCTCGGCCCAAGCGCGCTCCACAGCCGCACTGTCTCAGAACCTCCTCTCCGGTGGTTCGGGTAGAAGCGAGTACAGCAGCTACGATTTTGACGTCAGCAGAATTCTGCCCGTGGATTAACTCTTGGATTGACGGACAGCAAATTTCCTGGAGAGAAGTGAAGGAGACGAAGCTGAGCAGATCATGGGAGATTTCCAACAAACTGGCCTCCCATGGTTACACAAGCACTTAGCTAAACAGCACCGTGATAATTAATTGATTGATTGATTGATTGATTGATTGGTTGATCAAATTGATTAATTAATTAATTGATTGATTGATCGATTGATAGATTGATCGATTGATTGATTGATCAATTAAATAATTAATTAATTGATTGATTAATTAATTGATTGATTAATTGATTGATTAATTAATTAATTTGATTGATTAATTGATTAATTGATTGATTAATTGATTGATTAATTAATTGATTTATTAATTGATTAATTAATTGATTGATTGATTAATTAATTGATTGGTTAATTGGTTAATTAATTGATTAATTTATAAAAAGTGAAGTCCGAATGGTAAGACCACAATGGCTTTTTAAATTTTATTTCATTTTTATTTTTTAACACAACTGTTGAAGCCGCTGCGGTCGGTCCACACATCATCACACCCACAGAGTGAGGGACACACTGCGTGGAGACACACAGACACTGAGCAGAACCGACCTGACCCAAAGTGAATTGAATAGAACCAAGTTCATGGAGAGGTGCTAAATAGGTGCCGCTGTAGTGAACAGTTATACAGTATATTATATATTATAGTTGAGATGTCGAAAGCAAAACGGTCCCAAGTGTGGTGTCACTTTACAAAATATGATGCAGAAACTTTCACCTACAACAAATACTTTAAGAATATTTGGTGCAAAGACAAATTATTAATGGTTTTAAGTTAATATGTTGGTCAATTTCAAGTTTGACTTTGCCTTAGTCATTGCTTCATAAACCTCTCTGTGTGTGTTTTATTTATTTATTTTTAAAGTACCGATTTAAATACTGTTTAGGAACTGTACCGTTTTGAAAGTATTGATTTAACACCGGTATCGAATTAAACCCTTCAATACCCAACCCTAGTGCAGAGTAGTGTGAGCAGCTGACTGTCAAGTTTCAATCAGGCTAGGGTCCATTTTCACCCCCAAGTTTGTTACATTAAATTTTCTAAAAGGGGCCAAGAAGGAATAATCAAAGGTGGAAACACAGCTAGGACCACCAGACTTMAGAATCTTAAACTCAGTCTTTTTGTCATTAAAATGTAGGAAATTCAGAGCCATCCAACTCCTGATTTAATCAAGACAGTCCAAGAGAGACTGAGTGGASCCATTATGTTTAAGTGGAAAATAGACTTGGCAATCATCTGCATATAAATAAAACGGTACACGTTTTCTAAAAATGGAACCCAAGGGCAGAAGATAAAGTGAAAAGTGGATAGGACCAAGAATAGAACCCTGGGGTACACCCCAGGGAAGGGTGGCAGAAGCAGAAGTAAAATCATCTWTCACCACACTGAAACGTCTATCAGACAGATAGGACCTAAACCAGAACAGTGTTCCTAACCTTGTGTCCTTCATTCAAGGTTTGAAAAAGTTTCAGTGTCTTTTTGGGGACAGCAATGGTCCCACTTATGAGGCCCCTGCTCAYTTGGGTTCTTTATCCATCTCCACTCATCCTCATTTCATACTGGAAAAAAAAGGTATTTGAAAAAAAAAAACTATGTCATTGTGTAAAACATCCACACACACTGCAATACTTACATTCACAACCTGATCCAGCCATCAACAGTTTTTCTYCTGGCAGTGATTGTCGGACCATCCTTACCACCTCCACTCTCTCCTCCTCTGTCAAGTATGGGTACTCACCATTAGAGCCCTGGACCACCAGACCTGCAAAACCAAAAACACATTTTTGTGATGTCACACTGCGAATTATTKTCTGTCTATACTTTGCACTGTGTAAGTTAAGGAGCTCATTATAGCATATTTCAGCTATGATCTAGAACAAGTGTCCCACAGGCCACATCTGGGTCTCATTAACATTTTATCTGGCCCCAAAGGTAATATTTGAAATGTAAACTAGAGAAATTTCATTTCCTATGAAAATGCTACTGTGAATGGTTCTTGTTGAAAACTTTAGCTGAAATTGCTGAAATTGAGCTGATAATACATTTTAGCAAAAATGTTGATTCAAGTTCAATTTCAAAAGATGAAAAAAGAAAAAAAGCCTAACTGCAGAAAAAAGTCATAAGGAGCAAAAATATATTTCAAAAAGCAGAAAAAAGTTAAAAGTTAAAGGCTAAAATAGCTTAATATAGCAGAAAGCATCTGTAAAAAAAAACAAAAATAGCACAATTTAATAGATAAGAGCACAAAAAGTAGGGAAAAAACAGAAGAATAACAAAAAAATTGTTTTATAGCTAAAAT